AAGATGGCACCTCTGTGATATGAGAATGACAGCTGGATGACATAAATGGATTAAAAATGAGTAAATTGATAAATTAAAAACATTGTTAGCGAGGAATTATTGTTCTATGATGATTTGTTTATAGAAGGAGTCTCACAGGAATCTGTTCTTGGCTCAGTGCTATTCAGTATCAGTGGTCTAGAAGAAATATAAAATAATTGCTGGCAAAATTTACAGATGATAAAAATGAGTGAAGTGGTAAATATGGATGGGTGTGGTTCAATTGCATAGACCAACCTGGATCTCTTAGTAAGTTTGACTCATTTGAGCATATGTCTAATAAAGCCACATGCCAGGTCTAAGAACAAGGAATGTAGGTCACACAAGACAGGGTTATAACCTGAAAAAGGAATTAGGGGTTATAGCAGATAAACTAAACATGCGTGTCTGGTGGGATGCTGTAGCTAAAAGGGTTCAACAAGCCTTGAAGGTATAAGCAATGAAATATCACAGGGAGTTGAGAAGGGGGGATGTTGCCTCTGTATATGGCATTAATGAGAACATTTCTGAAATACTGTGTTCAGTTCTGGTGTCAACAAACACTTCAAAAGGGATGTTGAAAAATTTAGAGGGTTCAGAAAGGAGGCACAAGTATGATAAAAGACCTAGAAGTCAGACATTGAAGATGCTCACTATTAGTTTATCGAAGAGAAGATTAAGAGTTGACTTGATCATGGTCTAACAGGTGCACATTTTTAACAGTGTCTGTAATTAGTCATCAGAACAATTTACCAAAGGCTGCAGGGAATTTTCCATCACCTGAAGTCTGTAAATCAAGACTGGAGCTTTCTAGAAAAGCTGCTGTACCTTGGCCAAGAGTTATTTGTCTTGAAACAGGAATTCCTATGCAAGTTTTTCTGGCCTATATGAAGTTGAAGGTCAGTTTAAATCACCAGAATAGTGCTTTCTGACTACCCTCAACAAAAAAGTCTGCAGAGGAACTACAACATCCAGAGACACTCTCATCTAGCCATTGACATGTACACACCTGACAGAAAGAAAGCCTTTTTCGATAGATCCCTTATGCCTCCTGCAAGGAGGTTTACAGAATCTGTCAAAAAAGGCTTTCTTTCTCAACAGATTCCCCTCAAGACTGCCGTTTTTTGCCGACAAAGTGCTGAGTCGGCAAAAGCGGCAGCCATTTTTATGCAATTTAGGTGCAGGATATTTAAATCCCTGCCTCATTTGCAATGTCAACCTGCCTAATCTGCATCCCTCTGCCAACAGAGGGATGCAGTCTAAACATACCCTAAGAGACAAAGCTAATGCACACACCCATCAATGCACACCAAACTAGTCTATACTATGATAAGAATAGCTGCCCCGTGGCATAAAGATAAACAATAGACTTAAATCTAGGCACTTTTAGTAGGGTTGCCAGGTGTCCAGTATTGAACTGGACAGCCCAGTATTTGGGACTTCCGTAAAAAAAAAAATTCACGTGAAATGTGCAATGCCCAGTATTTTCTGTTTTTCCTGGCTCAGGCGTCCACTGGAACATGGGCGGCTTGGGCTGGCTGGGGCTGGAGGAGGTTGGAGCGTCCCCAGCAGGGCTTAATGTAAAAGAATGCAGCACACCAGGACCTCAGAGAACAGACTTCAAAATGGCCACCTTAAAAGGGCAATGACTGCTCTGCTCTTAAAAGGGCAATTTTTTTTCTTTTTGTCAGCTACTGTAAACTTTTCCCCTTTTTGTTCAACAATTGTAAACTTTTCCTTTTTTTTTTTGGACCAACAACTTTTCCCCTGGAGTACTGGCACCTTTTTTTTTTACAGTAGTCCTGGGAATTAAAGGGGCAGTGACTGTTTTTCGGCCCGGTCTATTACTTTTTTTTCTCCCCTCAACAAGTTTTGCTGCTGTGGGGTTTTTTTTTTTTCTTAACAGAATTTTTTCCCAGTGTGTGTTTTTTTTGGGGGGAGGGGTGTTCGGTATTTTTTGTTAACCCATCTGGCAACCCTAACTTTTAGTCATCATCAAAAATTGTGACCCAGACTCAAGTGTGTGTAAATTATACAGACTCCAACATAAAGTCCTAGTCTAGCTTACAACATCATCAAGAAGCCCCCACCTTCCTACAGCCAAACTATATCCAGAGAAGTTCAAATAGGCCTGCAAAGAAAGGAGACCTGATTTCAATTTCAGGAGCATCGGGGAGAAGGAGGGGGACATAGTAGGGAATATTCTTAAAGAGCACCTAAGTTAACGGGCAACTAACTAGTCAGAAATGTAAGAGAAAAAATTTCCAGCAACCATAATTCAAGATAATAATTCAAGATCTCAGGTCTTGCTTTAGTCTCAAACAAGAATTTCAGAACAAGAGTAACTCAAGTGAAGGCTGGGTACTAACCTGAACTTTCCCAGCTCCCATCCGATGGCAGAGAAGAGACCACAACTTTCTCTTTAGTAGCCCTAACTAGTTACTAGACCAGGGCTACTCAACACACGGACTGTTGGCAGCATGTGACCCGCAGCCCATTTGTTTGTGGCCCATGGTGGTTTGGGTTTGCACGGGGCTCAACATGTGGCCTGCGGGTAGGGTTAGGGTTAGGTTTAGGGTTACCCTTTGAACATTGCCTCTACTGGGAACACGCTCCACAATGGCAAGGTGTCTCCCAAGTGGGGTGAGCATTGGGGGAGGAATAGCTCAGTGGTTTGAGCATTGGCCTGCTAAACCCAGCAGTGTGAATTCAATCCTTAAGGGGGGCCATTTAGGGATCTGGGGCAAATCTGTCAGGGATGGTACTCAGTCCTGCTGTGAGGACAGAAGACTGGACTCAATGACCTCTCAAGGTCCCTTCCAGTTCCATGAGATAGTATATCTCCATATATTATTTTTTTTTATATTGAAAGATGCAAGTGGATGGGCTGGCTGGACTAGGCAGGTACAGGGTGTTGACATTTCTAATCCCCAGGGAGGAGGTGCCAGGAGTGCTGGGCCATTGTGGGAATGGAAGTGCTTTGTATTCGTGGCTATCAGTGTGAAAGAGGCTATTTGCATATATATTTACAGGCAGTCCCCGGGTTACGTACAAGATAGGGACTGTAGGTTTGTTCTTAAGTTGAATCTGTATGTAAGTCGGAACTGGCGTCCAGATTCAGCCGCTGCTGAAACTGATCAGTTTCAACAAGTGCTGGGCCATTGTGGGAATGGAAGTGCTTTGTATTCGTGGCTATCAGTGTGAAAGAGGCTATTTGCATATATATTTACAGGCAGTCCCCGGGTTACGTACAAGATAGGGACTGTAGGTTTGTTCTTAAGTTGAATCTGTATGTAAGTCGGAACTGGCGTCCAGATTCAGCCGCTGCTGAAACTGATCAGTTTCAACA